ATTTTCAATAATACACACAAAATTCACGTATTATTGAATAAAAATAAAATATATTTAAATATTTAAATACTAATTATTTACTGAGTAAATAATAATTAAAACATAACTACTAATTAAAGTAATTAAAAGAGAGAAATTCAGAAAATGCTATTCAACGGGTACTTTAAAAAATATTCTATTTATAGAGTAAAGCTGAACGGCTACGTGTTTGAAATCTTCAATTTATAGAGTATAGCCGGCAATACTCGTTTCCCCAAACACGTGCGAGGCGCTGGGCTGGTCTTTTTTTTTTTCATAAATAGTATAGCCGGGCGGCTATACTTCCGATTTTTTTATTTATAAAAAAAGCGTATATCCGCGCAGCTTTACGGGGTCTCTTTTTTAAATTGTTTTTTTTATAAAAAGTATTAGCCGTATAAAAAATTTAGCACTTTCACATTTAATACTCGTATTGTGTATGAACATATGTATTTTTCATGTTTAATACACTTATTTTTTTACAACATTTTCAATAATACACACAAAATTCACGTATTATTCACAAAATACTCACATATTATTGAATAAAAATAAAATATTTTTAAATATTTAAATACTAATTATTCACTAAGTAAATCATAATTAAAACATAATTAAAAGAGAGAAATTCAGAAAATTATATTCAATGGATATAGCCGATCGGCTATACCGTTTAAAAATTCTATTTATAGAGATACTTTTGAAATAGTCTGTTTATGGAGTATAGCTGCTCGGCTATACGCTTTTCACCAAAACACTAGCAAAGTGCTGGGTGGGTCTTGTTTTTATTTTTATTTTGTTTTTAAAAACGTGTAGCCGTGCGGCTATACTCCGGATTTTTTTATATAAAAAACGTATAGCCACGCGGCTTTATGTGGTCCTTTTTTTATATTTATAAATAGTATATTCTTTACCTAGGTACGGTATTTTTTTTTTAAAATTTTTTTTCCGCAATTTTTGTTTATCAATAAGAGTAGTTTAGAGCATTATCCGTTACTAATAGGCCATACTTATTTTTAGGCTATGCACAAAATAGGTACAATATTTAGGTAACAAAAAAATAGGTATGTTATTTATAGGTACACAAAATTGGTACAGTATTTAGGTAACAAATAAATCGGTATGTTATTTATAGGTACATAAAATAGGCACATGTAGAGTTACAAAAGATATGTACATTATTCAAAAAAAAAATAAAAAATAGGCGCATTAGTTTATGTTAAAACGTGATAGGTATATTATATGTTTCTTCATAGATTCAATAGGCTCAAAACGTGACTTGCTTAAACTTACCCTAAAAAATTCCTAAATTTAAGCAAATTTAAAACACCATTTGATGTTTTAGTTTCCGATCAAATGTAATCCTTTCCTATCATTAATAATATATCATCGTTTCATTTCAACAAAACACCATTTGAATATTAATGACAATTGCATCAAATATGTTCAAAGTATATTCAGAACAATCAATTGAGAAAACAACAATTG